CTGTACCCTGTACCATATGGTATAATGTACCATATGGCACAATGTACTATATGGTACATTGTACCATATGGTACCATTGTACCATATGATACCATTGTACCATATGATACCATTATATGACATGGCACCATTGTACCATATGGTACCATTGTACCATATGGCACATTGGTACCAGATGGTTCAAAACCATAGAATTCATCTTCAGCTCCACTTAGAACTGTAAGTTGTGAAGAGGAGAGTCAGAATTCGCCCGGAGAGTGAGTGGGGAGTGAGAGCTTCCTTGCCGCCAGGCACGATGAACAAAGCTACTTTGCTGGCGTTCCCACAATGCCATGTGGACATCCAGATTTTTTCTATGGTGTGCACACTGACCACCCAGACCCATTCTCTCAGATGTAGGCCTACCAGCCTTCTCCCACTAAATTTGATGCCGCTAGAATTTTGGCATAGATCTACGGTTTGGACCCTGAATGTAAAGCCATAGATCTACGGGATGGACCCTGAAAGGGTTAAGCAGAATAATTTGATCCTTTATTGGCAACGTTGTCAATAAAGGATCACATTATACTTCTTAAGTGTTTGTATTTCCATTGTGTTGGTATTTTATACCATTTACAGTGGACCCCCGGTTATTGGCCGTAATCCATTCCTGAAGGTCGGCTGATAACCGAAATGGCCGATAACTGAATTAATATTTCCCATAAGAATTAATGGAAACAAAATTAACTCGTTCCCAACAAAAATATTCAAAAAAAAAAATAATAATTTTTTTACAATTATGTAAGTATTACATACCATTATTGAAGGCTATTGCTGGCTTCTGGAAGATAGGGAGGAGGAAAGAGGGAGGAGTTAGTGTTTGGAAGGGGAATCCTCCTCCATGAAGAATTTAGGTAGTAATGCCTTCTCTGGGGTTACTTCCCTTCTCTGTCTTTTAATGCCACTAGAGCCAGCCTGAGTCACTGAACCCATCTCACAAAATAACAGTCCAGAGTGCTCTGTTTCTGGCGTCTCTTTAAGATTTCCCTGAAGTGGGACAGGGTTTTGTCACTAAACATGTTGCAGATATGGCTTGTTTCAGCTTTGTCTGGGTGGTGTTTCTCTACAAAAGCTTGCAAACTGGACCACATTGCACCCACCTCTTTAATCTCTGAAGAAGGCACCTCCTTCACTCCCTCTTCCTCCTCCTCTGAAGCAAGTTCCTCAGCTGTAATCTGTTGCTGTTTAAGTTGAAGCTCTTGCAGCTCTTCAGTGGTAAGCTCTTCCCTGTGGTCCTCCACCAACTTTTCCACATCCTCACCACTCACCTCCAACCCCAGGGACTTCCCCAAAGACACAATAGAGTCCACAGGGTCGGCAGGGTCAGGGTCACAGTGAGTCTCACACCCTTCAAAATCCCTCTCTTGGACACAATCTCGCCACAGTTTTCTCCAAGCAGAGTTCAAAGTCCTGGAAGTCACTCCCTCCCAAGCCTTGCCTATAAGGCTTATGCAATGGAGGATAGTGAAGTGATTCCTCCAGAACTCCAGACGCGTCCATCCACCAGCTGCCCCAGCTGGCGGATGGACGCGTCCAAAACCACCGATAACCGAGCAAACGGCTGATAACCGGGCACCGAAAAGCCAGCCGATAACCGAGTTGGCCGATAACCGGGGGTCCACTGTATTTCCATCCATAAGACAAGTGGTGACATTTGATGAGCATCAGCAGGGTGCAGTGATAAGATGAGATAAGGGGTGACATTTGATCAGTGCTGGCCAGGGTGCAGTGATAAGATGAGATAAGGGGTGACATTTGATGAGTGCCAGCGAGGGGTGCAGTGATAAGATGAGAAAAGGGGTGACATTTGATGAGCGTCGGTATCTCTGTCTCTGCTTATCTGTCTCTGTCTGCTTGTCTCTCTTTCTGTCTTTCTGCTTGTCTTTCTCTCTGTCTCAGAGAGAGCCACTGCAACAACAGGTATTCTTATGCATTATATCTACAAGCACAGTATAGCAGTTTGGATTTTTTATGTTATCCTAGGTTATTTACACTATGTATAATTGTATTTATGTGTACCTGTGATACAGAGATAGAAAGAGATAGACAGAGACAGACTAAGATAAAGACAGACAGACAGAAACAGACAGAGACAGATAGATAGACAAAGATACAGGCAGACAGACAGACAGAGATAGAGCTAGCCAACCAGCAGCCAGCAGCCAACCAGCCACCACCAGCCAGCCAACCAGCCAGCCAGGCAGCCAGCCAGGCAGCCAGCCAGGCAGCCAGCCAGCCAGCCTGCTTATTACATGTTGGAGAATTGTTTCTCTTGACTTAGGGCATAGGTTATAAGACATTCTGAAAGGGTGTTGCACAAATGATGCACATGGGTTATTATTGAGGTTTTTGATATTTTCTCGACCAATTGTGGCCACATCCACCTCAAAGCCACTAAACCTGGGGTCAATATCACTTTCCTCTTAAAAGGAGTGTTAATAAGACATGACATCAGTGAATCTTTGGTGTTTGCCGCATTGTTTTCTCTAGATGGTGCTCAGTTTAACTGGTGCTCGCACAAGGTACTAAGTGGTCCCAGATTTTTTTAATATAGTGCACACCAAGTGGTAATACCCATTCTATGCTGACCAGGCATCTCAGGCCAATCGTGCCAAATTTGGAGGCAGGAAAAATAAAACGTATATATACGTTTGGGGCGCTAACGCTAAGTACGTATATGTATACGTTTGGACCGCTTAGGGGTTAAGCATCAGCGATTTTTGCCCATTTTGAGTCCTATTTTCAGCCAATTATATTGCTCCATTAGACCAAATTCTTAGCTATTTTGCTAGTATGTGTTCCAATTTATCTACTGAGCACAAGTAATCACCCAATTAACTATTTCATCTACCCAATAAAGTGATCAGAAATTGGTAATTTGGCCAATTTAATGCAATGGTCAAAATATTCCAATTTCAAAATAGGGTCCAGAATAAATAATGCAGGCATTCCTGGCACTAAAATAGCATTTCCTCTGTTCATTAGTTATGTTTCCAGGCTTTACAGATGAATTCCATTTTGATTTTTTATTCACATAAAGAATTTTTATTCACACCAAAAAATAGAAGATGAGTTGTTATGCAATATTGTAATAATTGTATAAATAATATTAGTGCATTTGTGAATGAACATTAGACCCACCAGCTGACATGTATTGGATGCATGATGTGATTTATTTACTCTTGAATGTTGGTAAAAATCAAACATTTCTGCTACTTTGAGCTCAATTTCAAGCAATTTTCAGCACTAAAACTAATCAAAATCTTCTCTATTTCTGTAATATATCTTCCATTCTATCAATTGGGACCAAAATCTCACTAATACAACCATAAAAACCATATGAAAATACACCGCAAAATCGATTGCAATCCCCAAAAAAACGGTCGCAGTTTTTTTCTCGTTACACTGTGTGCTGCAGGATTTGTTTTGTATAGTGCACACTTATCAAATACATACATTCTCTTATATCCAGGGCAAAATTTACTGCTCACAGCTTATCTGAGTGAGCTGAGCTCACAACATAATACTATGGCACAGACCCTATCATCAAAGCCATAGAACTATGGCACAGATCCTAAAAGGGTTAATTATAATAGAAGATGATTCATTTCACAGTATATTACATACTGTCAAATGTTGTTTACAAACCTTTGTTCGTAGAATTTATAAAGCTATAAAAAGTTCAGCTTACACAACTTTTTTCATGCAAGTAATAAACAAAAATTTGGCTATGTCATAAATAACAAGCCGTTGTTTCAGTTATATTGTCAAAAGAAACAGGTTGGTAACCACTTGAACTTCATAAGTTTCTGATGCAAAAATTTTAAAAGCAAAATTAATACAAAGAAACCACTTAAAAAATAAAAATTAGGATATTATATGCCGGAACATATTTCCCCATGCATTCCCAGGTTGACAAGGAATTAGAAAATGATGAATACACTCTTACTAATAAGCATATTAGAGCATAAATCAATCAGCCCAAAGTATGTGAATCTAAGATACTGAGAACTTGAAAAGACAAGTTGAACCATGTTAGGTGAAATTCGAAATCTTATTGAACATCTTGCCAATTAACTTGCCATTTAAAACTATGATCTAGTGTAAAATAAAAGTAAAATTACTTTGTAATGAAAAAGGGACACAGGTTATTAAGCTGCGAGGAGGAGGATGTTTACCTGGCTGTACCACTCTCTCATCCTCCCTACCTCAAGCAAGCATCAATAACAAAGACATAAAAAAAAAAACACATTGCCTAAATAGTAGGTTGAATGTATTTCAAGGGATGCTATTTTTAATAAAGGGCTTTGAGAGTGTGATGTATTATTAAATATTAAGCTCTTTCATATTATAAGAGGGACACAGACTGTTTGGTTATATGTTATTGGTCCTTGGGATCACTGCCCCTTCAGCAGTCTCAGACCAAGCCTTTTAAATTGGTAAGGAAATATTAAGAAACACACAGGCAAGTAAACAAGGGCTTAAAGATTTACCTGCCATCTTTTGTTAGACAAAAAAAAAAAAAAAAAAAAAAAAAAAAAAAAAAAAAAAAAAAACTCACTCCCTGGATGGTTACTGTCTGCTGACTTACTGCCTGTTAAGATGACTGACTTTCTCCCTCCTTCAAGGTCACAAAGTGGACACAATCAGGACAAGTCAGATGCCTGGGTAATGCATAACTAAAATCCTCTTTCTTCCACCCCTCCCATGAATTCAACTATATAACAGAGAGACTATGCCGTGTTGCATGGAATGAGGTAATCTTAGCGCAAACTATGTTGTAATGAAAGTGTTGTGGGAATGCAAATTATATGAGGTTCTATTATGTATTTAGGAGTTACAGTAAATGGTACAGCATTTCAGATGTCACAATAATACCACACATAAGATAATGCAAACCCAAACGTACTCAGCAGATCTAAACGGAATAAAATAAGACTTTTGGAAAATCTGTCCCTTACTTGTTCTTAGTTGGTGAAGTTGGAGGTTTTTTTTCCTGGTCTTTGTTTATATCCATCCACACACCACTCTTGTTAACTTCCTCTGATATGTTGATTGGATTCATTGGAACTTTCATCACGTTTCCATTGGCCAGTGGAATAGTCATTACACCTTCAGCAGTGCTTATCTGAAAAAATAAATTATAAAATAGTTAACTGGCAACTTTTAAGACTTTTTAAAATGGTCAGCAAGCATGTGAGAGCATGTTAGATAGGAGTGAATGGAGACAAATGGTTTTTTGGGACCTGATGAGCTGTTGTAGTGTGAGCAGGGTAATATTTTATGAAGGGATTCAGAGAAACCGGTTAGCCGGACTTGAGTCCTGGAAATGGGAAGTACAATGCCTCCACTTTAAAGGAAGGGTTTTGGATATTGACAGTTTGGAGGAACTTTTGAAATGTTGTATCTGACTGCCTCTGCAAAGACAGTAATTATGTGTGAGCAATGGTGAAGTTGTTGAATGATGATGAAAAAATTTTTCTTTCTTTTTGGGTTTTTCATATTTTTTAGGTCACCCTGCCTCGGTAAGAAATGGCCGATGTGTTAAATAAATAAATATATAATATATATATATATATATATATATATATATATATATATATATAATATATATATATTATATATATTATATATAGATAGAGAGAAGAGAGAGAGAGAGAGGAGAGAGAGAGAGAGAGAGAGTTAGAGCTAAAGAAGTAGCAATAATGTTGAAGGATAAGTTATGGCGAGGATAAGAGGGACTACAAATGTATTAATTCAAGGATTATGTGGAGTAAAATAAGGTTGGATGTGAAAAGTGGGTTATAGTAAGCGTATATGCACCTGGAGAAGAGAGAAGTGTAGAGGAGAGAGAGAGAGAGATTTTGGGAAATGTTGAGTGAATGCATGGGGAGTTTTGAACCAAGTGTGAGAGTAATGGTGGTTGGGGATTTCAATGCTAAAGTGGGCAAAAATGTTGTGGAGGGAGTAATAGGTAAATTTGGGGTGCCAGGGGTAAATGAAAATGGGGAGCGTTTAACCCGTAAACGGTCCAAACAGATCTACGTTCACATGTGTAGTGCTACAAAAGTAGATCTAAGTTTTTTTTTACATATTTTCAAATATAACAAAAAAAAGTAGATCAAAGTTTTTTACACATTTTCAAATGTAAAAAAATAAAGAGAAGATCTACTTTTTTTACATAGTTTCAAATGTTGAAAAAACGTATATATACATTTGGACCGTTTACGGGTTAATTGAGCTATGTGTAGAAAGAGGTTTGGTAATAAGTAATACATATTTTATGAAGAAGTGGATAAATAAATATACAAGGTATGATATAGCATGTAATGAAAGTAGTTTGTTAGATTATGTATTGGTGGATAAAAGGTTGATGGGTAGGCTCCAGGATGTACAGTGGAACCTCAAATATTGAACTTTCTTCGGTCCAGAAGGCTGTTCGAGTGCCTTTACCGAATGAATTTATTCCCATCAGGAATAATGTAAATTAGATTAGTCCATTTCAGACCCTCAAAAATACATTTATAAAAGCACTTACAAAAATACACTTACATAATTGGTCGTGTTTGGAGCAGTTCGATTTTTGAGGTTCCACTGTACATGTTTATAGAGGGGCAACTGATATATCGGATCATTATTTAGTTGTAGCTATAGTTAGAGTAAGAGGTAGATGAGAAAAGAGGAAAATGGCAACAACAAGCAAGAGGGAGGTGAAAGTGTATAAACTAAGGGAGGAGGAAGTTCGGGTGAGATATAAGCAACTATTGGCAGAAAGGTGGGCTGGTGCAAGTATGAGTAGTGGGGGGGTTGAAGAGGGTTGGAATAGTTTTAAAAATGCAGTATTAAATGTGGGGCAGAAGTTTGTGGTTATAGGAGAGTGGGTGCAAGGAGAATGAGGAGTTTATTGGTGGAATGATGAAGTAAAGGGTGTGATAAAAGAGAAAAAATTAGCTTATGAGAGGTTTTTTACAAAGCAGAAGTGTTATAAGAAGAGTAGAGTATTGGAGAGTAAAAGAAAGGTGAAGAAGTGGTGAGAGAGTGTTTAAAAGGAGAGCAGATGTAGAGGGGGGGAGAGGCCACTGTCAACAAATTTTAATGAAAATAAGAAAAAAAATTTTTGGGTTGGTTAAACAACTTAAGAACCTAGAGAACGAAGAATTTGTCAGTTAAAAAACAGAATAGGGGAGTTGTAGATGGGGAGATGGAGTTTTTGGGTAGATGGCGAGAATATTTTGAGGAACTTTTAATGTCAAAGAAGAAAGGGAAGCGGTAATTTCATGCACTGGCCAGGGAGGTATACCATCTTTTAGGAGTGAAAAAGAACAGGATGTGAGTGTGGGGGAGGTGCGTGAGGCATTACGTAGAATGAAAGGGGGGTTTTTTAAACAGCTGGAGCTGATGAGATCTTGACAGAAATGTTAAAGCAGGGGGGGGGACAGTGTTGGAGTGGTTGGTATTTTTGTTTAATAAATGTATGAAAGAGGGGAAGGTACCTAGGGATTGGCAGAGAGCATCTATAGTCCCTTTATATAAAGAGAAGGGGGACAAAAGAGATTGTAAAAATTACAGAGGAATAAGTTTACTGAGTATACCAGGAAAAGTGTACGGGGGGGGTTTTTAATTGAAAGAATTAGAGGTAAGACAGAATGTAGGATTGACAGATTGGAGCAAGGGGGTTTCAGAGTGGGTAGGGGATGTGAAAATCAAGTGTATACATTGAGGCAAATATGTGAACAGTATTTAGATAAAGGTAAAAGGAAAATTTTTTATTGCATTTTGGATTTAGAAAAAGGCATATGATAGAGTGGATAGGGGAGCAATGTGGCAGATGTTGCAAGTATATGGAATAGGTGGTAAGTTACTAAATGGGTGTAAAGAGTTTTTTTTGAGGATAGTGAGGCTCAGGTTAGGGTGTGTAGAAGAGAGGGAGACTACTTCCGGTAAAAGTAGGTCTTAGACAGGGATGGTGTAATGTCACCATGGTTGTTTAATTATTTAAGATGGGGTTGTAAAAGAAGTAAATGCTAGGGGAGTTCGAGAGAGGGGTGGGATTAAATTATGGGGAATCAAATACAAAATGGGAATTGACACAGTTGCTTTTTGCTGATGATACTATGCTCATGGGAGATTCTAAAGAAAAATTGCAAAGGTTAGTGGATGAGTTTGGGAGTGTGGTTTTAAAGGTAGAAAGTTGAAAGTGAACAATAGAAAAGAGGTAAGGTGATGAGGGTATCAAATGATTTAGATAAAGAAAAATTGGATATCAGATTGGGGAGGAGGGTATGGAAGAAGTGAATGTTTTCAGATACAGTGGACCCCGGTTAACGATATTTTTTTTACTCCAGAAATATGTTCAGGGGCCAGTACTGACCGAATTTGTTCCCATAAGGAAAAATTGTGAAGTAGAATAGTCAATTTCAGACCCCAAAAATACCATACAAACGCACTTACATAAATTACAATTACATAATTGGTCGCATTCGGAAGTGATCGTTATGCGGGGGTCCACTGTATTTGGGGTTGATGTGTCGGCGGATGGATTTATGAAGGATGAGGTTAATCATAAATTGATGAGGGAAAAAAACGGTGAGTGGTGCCCTTGAGGAAATGGGAGAGACAAAAACATTTTCTATGGAGGCAAAGAGGGAATGTATGGGTAGTAGTACCAACACTCTTATATGGGTGTGAAGCTTGGGTTGTGATGTGCAGTTCAGGAGGAGGCAGTTGGAGGCAGTGGGATGTCCTGTCTAAGGGCAGTGTGGGTGTAAATTTATGCAGAAAATATTTGGAGTGTGAAAATTAGGAGAAGGTGTGGAGTTAATAAAAGTATTAGTCAGAGGGCCCGAAGAGGGGTTTTTTTAGGTGGTTTGGTCATTTAGAGAGAATGGATCAAAATAGAATGACATGGGGGGAGCGTATAAATCTGTAGGGGAAGGAAGACGGGTAGGGGTCGTCCTCGAAAAGGTTGGAGGGAGGGGGTAAAGGAGGTTTTGTGGGCGAGGGGCTTGGACTTCCAGCAAGCGTGCGTGAGCGTGTTAGATAGGAGTGAATGGGATTTAAGGGTATTTTGGGATCTGACGATCTGTTGGAATGTGAGCAGGGAAATATTTAGCAAAGGGATAAAAAAACCGGTTTTTTTTGTATAGCCAACTGAGCCCCTGGGGGGGGGAAATACAATCCCTGCACTCAAAAATTGGGGGTTTGGGATTTTAGCATTTGGAGGGATATGTTGTGTATTTTTAAGGTAAAAAGCTTCAAACTGTTGTGTTCTGAGCCCCTCTGCAAAAACAGTGTTATGTGTGAGTGAGGCGAAAGTTTTGATGATGATAAAGTATTTTATTTTTGGGGATTTTCTTTCTTTTTGGGCACCCTGCCTCAGTGGGAGGGGACAGAAACCCACCCGGAAAAGTACTACCGTCTCCCAGTGACTGTGAAACAAAAACCTGAAACTGTTTTGATGATGGTAGGATTGCTTTTTCTTTTCTGTTCAAAAAAACACGCAAGAAACAGGGATTTTTTGTACTCCTATTTTACATTTTGGTACATTTCACGACACGCACATGCATATTTTTTATTACATACATCAGGTTTTTTTTCTCCTTTTTCAAATAGCTCTTGTTCTTTTTTTTTCTTCTTTTGTCCTGGGGAAGGGGAAAAAGAATCTTTCCCCCGTAAGCCATGGTGTCGTATGAGGCGATAAAATGCGGGAGCAAGGGGCAGTCCCCCTTCTCCTGTAACAATTACTAAAAAAGAAGAAGAAAAAAATTATAAAACGGGTTGTTTAAAAAAGTGCTGGTGTAGTGCGGATGACAAGAAACGTGTTGCTGATGTTATGAATGAAAAGAAGTTGGATGTCCTGGCCCTAAGCGAAACAAATAAAGGGGGTAGGAGGTTTCAGGGGGGGGGAATAAAGGGGGTTTAAATTGGAGTATCGAGAGAGTTAGGAAAGGGGGGGGTAGCAGTAATGTTAAAAGTCGTTAGGGAAGGAGAAAAGAGGGAAAATAATGTGTAAAATTTAAGAATTATGTGGATTAAAGTAAAAGGGGTTTGGGTGGGGGGGAATGGGTCATAAAAGTGTGTATGCACCTGGAGAAGAGAGGATTTAGGGAGAGAAGGAGAATTTTGGAG